TTTTTTTTTAACAGTAGGTTGTACACATCTCAGTATAATAAATGTTTTTCAATTGTTTTGCAAACGTGTGTCTAATTTAATACCCCAGGTTCTGCCTTACCTGCAGTGTCCTCTCAGTCTGTGTAAATCAGAAGAGAAGGTGGTTTACATACAGCATGGCGTGAGGAAACACCAGTCTGGATGAAGTGCGCCTGCGTTTTGTTTTCCTTTCAGTTTGTTCTCGAAGCAGTTGCCGTTGAGGACGGCTCTTCTAGTAACAGCTGTGCATTCAAAAGGAAGCAGGCTCATTTCTGCAGAGAGGTTTTCGGGTTTGTCCATGATGTCCTCGGTCACCGCACACCAAGCTAGCAGTAGATCCGGGCTCTGAAGAGCTAACGTCGGACGATTCCAGCCATTTCCATTAACGTTTAGAGAACTAATTCATACACGCTGAAACAGATCTGTTATGTAGTTACTGATTTAAATGGCTTCCTTAACTCCGTCGTGTCTGCCTCACACAGTTTACCTGCTATGGTGTACACATAAAACAGGGAGTACAGGAGCAGGTCATAAGACATTCGAATCATCAAGACACGAGGGTGTTTTCCGATAATCCTGCTAAACCCATTTGTGGGGTTGTTTCCATTTCCAGCTGGGCCCCGAGAACACGGCTGTGGCAATGTCGCTTTCAGCATGGTTCTTCTCAAGAGTGGGGACTTAGAGGAGGTGCTGTCAGTCATGGGACGTTCCCCCGGGCTTCATCTGCAGGGTCATCGAGGGCTGGTGTGTGCACACAAGGAAGGGCATTGAGTCCACATCTTTGGTAACCACAAAATGTAGAAGCCACAGAAGAAAACAGTGTAGGTTGTGTAAGGAGGGACTGAATTTCAAAACTGCTTTTACACAGATAACGATTACAGCAATAAAACCTCTTAAACTTTTAAAAAAATCATTGCCATGGTTTATTTTTTATGAGTAAAAGGTGCCAACATTACTGATCTGAGTTTGAAGTGTAAAAAGTCTGAATAGTTCTGGTGTAATGTGATTTACAAGATTTTAAATAAACTTGGGGGAACCACATTCATTCTACATGCATCCATTCTGTTTCTTTAAGGTCTCAGTTTGTGAAAGATGTGGATATAACTCACTGCTTTCCTGTAACAAATGTATCCTGTACTGTCCTTAGGCTAGAACCAAGAGTTTCCAGCTGGGCAGCACAAACTCTGAGTGGCTTTTGTTAAGTTGTTGGCTTCTCTGACACGGGAGGGGGAAGGCCCTCCACCAGCCGGTTTCATGCTTCACTTGTTGTCTCCTGGAAAGCCAGTGAGTGACCAGTCCTTTCCACGTAGGTCTTCACATGGACAGCAGCCAGGCACGGTGGAGCTGCGATATGGTTACTTTGATAGAGGTCCAGTTCGGTCCTTTGAAATGGAATCCTTGTGAATCAGAATTGTCCACTAGCTTGAGGACAAGTAGAAAATCTATAGCTTAGCTTCTTGCTCGGTTTGTGCTAACACTGGTGATGGTGATGTGTTTTGAGGGAGCTGAAAGAACGAGTGTAGGACTTTGTATCTAGACGGGCACCCACCTCTCTGGAGATCTGGGGTCCCGCTGCATTGAGCCGTTCTTGTCAGACGTCAGTGGACACGAGCTTTGACTTGATCGCATCACAGCAGGAGAAAGGTGAAGCCCACCAGTCCTGCAGTCCAGTCAGAAGTCCTTTACCTGTAAAAGCCTTTCCCAGTGGAATAGCAACAGATTCAGGTAGCAGTGGTTGGTGGTCAGGAAAACGGGTCTTCTGTGGAAAGGCCACCGCACCAGGCCTTGGGAGGACAACTGCTGTCAGAGAACAACACAGCATCTGCAGAGCCGCTGTCCACTTCCCCCCACTGCTGTGGGTGGGGTCACAGGAGCAAAGTAGGCGTGTACTTTGACATGAGGGAGCTGTGCCTAGAAGTGGAGAGGGGACAAGGGGCAGTCCTAATCCTAGAAGAGACTGGATTTCTGCCCACAGTAACTGTTGCTGTGTGGCCCTCGGACATTCTGGACAGCCGGAGCACCCTGCCTGAGGCTGCTTTGGGTGGAACACAAAGTTGCCTGAACTTCAAGAATAGTCAAGAAAATGTAATGGAGAAAGACGAGAATTGCCGAGCCTCCTTGGCCTGGTAATTACCCAGACCTCTCTGCCCTGGAACCTAAATTACCTTTCAACACTGACCCCAGGCCCAAGCCCGCCACTATGCCCTGGGCCCCGGCGTTGAGCTGCGCTTGGTACAGGACTAGTGCCCTTCTCCCTTGGGACCAAGTGGCTGGTAATTCAAAGCGCTGACCTCCCAGTCGGCAGCCCGTCCATGTGAGAAGTGGCAGGCCTCCCCTAAGGGGGTGCTCACTAGACCTCATGGGGCCTCCTCCCAGGCAGGCTCCTCGGGGTGGGGTGGGGGTGTGAGTGTGTGTGTCCCTGGCTCAGGCTCGCGTACAGGACAGCCTACCCGCATCCTCTTGATGCCAGCCCGGGTGACCTGCTGGCAGTCGTAGAGCTCCAGGCGTTCCAGGCCCCGGCAGTTCTCCAGGTGCTCCAGGGCCACATCGGTGATCAGGAGGCAGTTGTCCAGTTCCAGCACCCGCAGCCGCTCGTGACCACAGGTGCTGTTGCTCAGGTGCAGGATGCCGTCATCTGTGATGAGCTCGCAGTGGGACAGGCTCTGGGATTGGAAGACAGATGCAGCTGTGCCCAGGCCCCGCTGAGACCCGGTGTCACCACAGCAGCTGTTTAGCGGGTGAGAACTGAACACACAACTTGCCGCAATGGGTCTGCTGCAACTCACACTGAAAACCAGCTTGAGCTGACCCTCTACTGGGCTTCCGAGGCTGTAACCCGCACACAAGGAGACAGCAGCCTCCATCTGACTTGCTCCGGCTGGACTGTAGATAATGTTATGTTACGATAAATCAGAATTTCAGGGTATTTCTATTTACCTCTTGAGTGCCATTTTATAGCCTGTTACTCTACTAGAAGTGAGACCAGTAGTCAGTTTAATGCCCTCGACCATTTCTGTAAATTGCTGCAGACGGCCACTGCCGAGAGGTATACTGTCTGAAAGGTTATCTCAACTAGCCTTTAAATAGTGGGACCTGACAAGCCTTCTCCAAGGTGAGTATCGAGAAAACCAGCATGTGGGTCTCTGAAAGGATGACCCTCAAGGACCAACTGTCAAGCACGTCAGAGGATGGCAGGGCAGTGTTTGGAGCTCTTGTTCACGGGGTCAACATGAACTGATTGAACAGCACCTGACAACAAATCAGATGGTCTGAGCCTGGAACAGACACCAGCAGAACAGAACCAGAAGCCCGTAACAAAGGTTGGACACCGACAGTCAGCTGGTCTTTGGCCAGAGTGTTAAGTTTGTCCAATGAGAGAAGAGCCAGCTCTATTGGTGCTGGGAGACCAGTTTGTCCACATGCAAAAGAGTGAACTGGGACTCACGCCACACAACAGCAACAAGACCTAACTCAAAGTGGATCAAATGCCTAAATGCAGAATTAAAACTCTCTTAGGAAACAGGTAAAGCTTTAGATTCTGGTTCTTCTAAACAATGGATTCTCTGAAATCACACCAGAGACACAGCAACAAAAGATATTAGCATTAGAAAAGCTTATCTAAGAACCTTGAAAAGTTATCTAAGAACCTTAACAATGTGAAGAGAGAAACCTACCAATCTTTTTTCCTATCGATTATGAGGGGAATTTTTTTAACTACATGGTAAAAGTTTAATCCATGCATAATTCAATTATCTAGCAACAAAAAAGAAAACAGTTCAATAAAAATGAGCAAAGGCATGGAACAGACACTTCAACCAAAAAATAGCCAACACACGAAAATGCTCTTTAGTCATTAAGGAAAATCTAAGCCACAATGAGATAGTGCTTAACACACACTAAAATGGTTATAATTACTAAGAGGTGTTTCTGAGAATGTGACGAAGCCGGAATGTCCATTGGTGGTAGTAATACAAGCTGGTGTAACCACTGAGAAAAGCAATCAGGATCCTCAAAAGAATTACCCTAGGATCCAGAAATTCTCCTACTCCGTAAATATCCCAAAGAACTGAAAACAGAATGCACAGAAAGTTCCTTGGAGTAGGTAAATGGATGAATAAACAAGGCACGTTCATACACTGGACTCAGCCATAAAGAGATGAAGTCAGTGCAGAAACACTGATGAACCCTGGTAGATGGCTGAGAGAAGTCTGTCCCAAAGAGACAAAAGGTATTTGTTCTGCTTCCATGAAACATCCGGGACAAGAAGGGCCCTGGCAAGAGTTTCAGTGTTTCTTGCCAGGGGTACGTTTGAGGAGAGGGTGGGAATCTCAGAGGAGGAGACTCCCCAAGTCCTGTCAAGGGTGAGGGAAAGATATGGGCACAGATAATCGTATAGACTGGGCCTGTCCTACAGGGAGCACCACAGAAGGACAGCCCTCTAACCAGCAGCACTTGGCCTCTACCAAGCTCAGGCAGGCAGCAAGGAGCAGGGGGCCTGGAGGGACGGACATCCAGCATTCCTGAGCAGGCATCCCCCAGGCTCTGACCCCTGCCTCCCCTCCACAGCCTCATCCTTACCCTGAAGCTTGGCCATGAGGTCTCATCAGTGTGGACAAGACATCATGAAAAGGAAAACTGAGGTGGAAGAAGACGTATGTTCCCCTTCCTGGCTGGCTGGCTTCTTGAATAACATGCCACAATTCCAATTTAACATAACAGGCTAAAATCCTTCCAGGGCAGCCTCAAGCAACAGTTGCACTACAAAATGATGACCTCTGGGCATCTTCTCGGAGAACATGAGGATGTAAACAGTGCCCTCACCAACGGAATGCTGGGGGACGAGATGACACGTAACATGCCTAGCACCACCACTACACTGGCTTGAACAGTGCATGGCAGCTGGGCCACGGGCTATAGGAACCAGTGTGGGAAGGGTGAGCTGCCTGGTCAGTCAGTGGGTCTTTTTTACTGTTCACTGTGACCTTTCAAGATCTTATCTTAAATGTTATCGTTCTTAGGTTACATCAAGTCAACCGTGATGCACAGTGGTCCTGAGAATGACCGATAAGAACTCTGCCCTGTCCTGCACCTTCTTCATGGTTCCAGTCACTGTGTCATCCCCCTCGTAGAGGGACTTCCTCAACACGATGACATCAGCAGTGGAAGAGGACTCATCAACAACCTGCATTATGCAGATGATGCAACCCTGTTTACAAGTGAGGAGGACTTGAGGTACTTGCTGCACAAGATCAAAGGCCACAGCCTTCAATACGGACTGCATTTCTATCAAAACAAAAATGCTTACCACTGGATTAATAGGCCACATGGTGACAGATGGAGAAAAGGTTGAAGCTGTCAATGATTCTGTTCTACTTGGGTCCACAATCAACTAACACCCTTGATCAGAAGATCAAATCAAAAGATATGTTGCACTGGGAAAAGCCACTGCCACGGACATCTTCAAAGTACTAAAGAGCAGTGGTGTCAGATTAAACAATAAGGCGCATCCGATCCAAGTCGGGGTGTTTTCAGTCGCTTCCTATGCATCTGAAAGTTGGACACTGAGTAAACCTGTAGATGAAGAACGTTTGTCTTTGAACTGTAGCGCTGGACCAGAGTACTGACTGTCCCATGGACTGCCAAAGAATACAAACAGGTCTGTCTGGGAGGAGGTACAACCAGCGTGCTCCTCACAGACAGGGCTGGTGAAGCTTCATCTCACATAGCTGGCCATGTTGTCAGGGGGCACAAGTCTTTGGAAAAAAGGTGTAGGGTCAGAGGGAAGACAACTCTTAGCTCCATGTTTTCACTCTAGGCAACCAAGCTGATAATTCAACTTGAATGAAGGATCAAGGACTTGGGTGCTGGTGGTTCTGACCTACACAGAGGTACTAGGAGACAGCGCTGGTCACCTGCTTCCAAGAGTCTGGGGCCCTGAAAATGCCATGAGCCCCTTCCACCCAGCTCACACCAGGTCACCAGGACCCAGATCTGGTCTGATGGCCACTTCCAACCGTTCACATTCTCAGATGAAGGCAGTGACACGTGCCCTGCCTCTCAAGTTAGCGTTCTTGGTTTCAGAAATGTCAGTTGGGCTAATTTAAAGAAGTGGTAAGAGATGAGCACCCCCGAGGCTGACTCACCAGGGCTTGCAGTTTCGGACAGTGAATGGAGAGCTGGATAAGCGTGTTGTCAGTTATCTGCAGAGAAAAGCCTGTCAGTGGAGCTAGAGACATCGGCGCCTCCGCCCGGCTCTGTGGGGCCCACACATCAAAGCCCCTCTCTACCGGCAGGATAGGGGGATCCTCCCACTCTAGGAGGTGAGACACTAACTGTGCTCAGGCCTCCTCTGGTGTCTCGGGGGAGGACAGGGCCAGAGAAAGGAGTGCAGTCAGGAGCGTCTCTTTGGAGTCACTCCAAGACCAGACATGCACGTTTTTTCTCCTTTAAGTTCCAAGAAAATGACAAAAGACCTATTCTTAAAAAGTTGGCCAAAGATGAACTTCTCTGCTGTCTCTGATAGAAACTAGACAAACTGTACACACCGTCATGGGCTCCCGGCTCCCACACCTGCACCCACAGGGACCCAGGGGCAGGGCCGGGCTCACTGTGTGACAGTGACGTAGCGGAGAGGGGCACGGAAGGGTCGGGCTTGCTCTGTGACAGTGACATGGCGGAGGGACACAGGAAAGGCCGGGCTGGACTTGGGGGCACAGAAGGAGCCAGGCTGGGCTTGCTCTGTGACAAGTGACACAGGAGGAGCACAGAAGGTTCTGGTACTGTATGATGTGACAGTGACACTGGAACAGGGGAGCAGATGGGCAGTAGGCTGGACCCGCAGCGCCATTAGAAGCAGTCCACTCACCAAGACACATTCCTCTAGATCCATCTTCTCCAGGTCGTGGCAATTCTGAAAGAGTCCACAGGCCACGCCACCCCTCATGCACATCAGTGGTTAGGAACCTGGGTGGCATGCCCTGTCCCACTGAGTCCTGCCCAGTGTCCTTCTCCTCTGCCATTAAGGTGTGGGCTCCCTGAAGCAGCACTTCGGAACAAGAGGGTGTTCTCAGTCCTTTTTTTGTTTTGTTTTTTTAAAACAACGTAAGGTCTGCCCTGGGCTTTCTTCTCTCCAACTAGAAAGCCGTGAGCCTGAACCTTTCCAGTGGCTCCCATGTCTAACTGCACAGAGTAGGTGGGGACCCTGTCCACACTATGTGCTCTGGGGAGGGAGGGAGGAGCCATGATGCCATGAATGCAGCCTTTCCTGGCATTGGTCTAGAGGGGCCCTCCAGTAGTTGATGTTTGTGAAATATCACAGAAAGGGGGGCAGAGAGACAAGCACAGACCAGTAAGAGAAAGGTGCCAGGAGGCAACCTGGGGTCCATGTGAGGAAGGGAATCCCATGCCAGACTGGCGGTGCCTCTGGTGCCACATCCCCAGAGCAAGGTCTAGACCCTCTCCAGGACCTCCAGATTTTCTGGTCAATTCGAAAAACCAAAGCCATGCACTGAGGGGATGTGCCTTTTCTGAAGCTGGGGTTTCCACTGCCCCTACACCACCTTCCCAACTCAAAAGTGTCTCAGGTCATTTGAGTTGAGTTTGGTTTTTCAGAAAGACGCCTTACCCGAGCCAGAAGTGTGAAGCCTGCGTCAGTCAAATGGGAGCAGCGAGCGGCCTCCAAAATCCTGAGAGTGGATGGATGCGGGGGAAAGTGCCAAGTTACCCAGACACCCCAACTTCACGAGCCTAGTCACCCCTGCCACACACACGCTTCTGTCTTGTATCAGGAGCAGACGCAATCCGACCACTGCCAATGAGAAGGGGCTGAGAGGTGTGCGAACCGTGCTTGGACAGCAAACCGCTGGTGCGCCCCCAGGATCAGCATGCTGGTTTTGCTTCTAAATACTTCGACTTTTTGGTGACTCACAGAACAATTAAAATAGACTTACTTAACAAAATCATTTGAGATACACTGCAGTTCATAGAATTATCAGGTGATGGTGGTGAGGTGCCATCGACTTGACTACGACTCACAAAGACCCAATGAATAACATCTCTGAAGCCTGCCCTGTCCTGAGTCAGTCTCACTGTCTTCCAACACACCTACCTCCATGGCCCTAGTGACTGTATCATCGGGGTCTCCCTCTCCTGTGTTGTCCTTCCACTCTTCCGAGCATGATGTCCTCCTCCAAGGGATGGTTCCTCTTGGCAACACACCCAAAGTATGTGAGATAGGGCTTCACAGTCCTTGCCTTCAAGGAGCGTCCTGGTTTCACTCTCTCTAGGACAAACCTGTTTGTTCTCTTGGCAGTCTATGGTGTGTTCAATACTCTTCTCCAGCACAACTTAAAGGCATCAATTCTTCTCGAGCTGTCCTTTGAATTCTTTCATTCAATTCTTTCATGTCATCATTTCTTCCTTAGCTACTTCACATTCAAGACTTCAGAGTTTCCATTATGTTCTAGTATTTCTGTCTCATTTTCTTAAATGACTTTTTGCTTTCTTCATGTAGGATGTCCTTCCACAGCTCATCTGGTGCTCCATGTTTTAGGTCTGCTTTTGATATGGTCCCTAAATCCAGGTGTGCTATCGTCCTGATTGGCTTTGTGGACTTCTCATCTCCTTCAGCTTTAACGTGGACTTGTCCAGGAGCTGTGGTCCATTCCAGAACTTGCTCCCAGGCCTGTTGTCACGGATGCTGTTGACTCTGTCCCTCCTCTCTGGACTGACTCCTGTGCACTCCACGAGGAGAGGTTACTACCACTTGGGATTTTTAACAGAAGTATCTGCAATGACTATTTTTTTCATAAATTTTCATGCTGCAAACTCCAGTGTTGTTTCTATCACCATCGTCATGTTTCATAAACACTGATCTTTTCCCCTTGATTCCAGCATTCACATCATTATAATCAGTAATTATCAAAACATCCTGATTGCATGACGGATCAATTTCTCAGGCTGCAGTGAGGTGGTAAAAACCTACATTTTCTTCCTTCTGGGGTTTAGTGGTTGGTGCATAAACTTGAATAATAGTCACATTAACTGGTCTTCCTCACAGGCATGTGGATTCTATGCCATTCCACTTCAAGACAGATAATGTTCCTTTGGAAAATTAATTTGTCATTCCTGGTATAACGGGCCGCACCGCATTGCAGAACATTGCATAGCGTGTATATAGCATTTATATATGACTGTCTGAAAATACCAGTCCATTTCAGCTCTCTAAAGCCCAGATGCGGATTTTTATGCATCCCATCATACATTTCTGACAACTCTCTATTTTCCTAAATTCCTATTCCACAGTCTACCTTTTAATTATTAATGGACAGATGTTTGCAGGGGTTTCATCTTGAGTTTTGCCCCATCGGCCAGTGAAGGTCCACGTCATGAAGGCAGAAGTGACTTTGAGAAGCAGCTCTTCCCTCGTCTCCTGCCATGGAGCTGTGGGTCAGCGGACAGCCTGGTGATACTGGATGTACACCCAGAAGTCCAACCACCAAGTGCTGTCAGACCAGACTCATGGTCAAAGGAACACGGGGACGAGGAAACTCGGGGTGAACGGATGACATTCACCAAGAAGCTAAGGTTCTGGGTCTCTGGTGAGGTTATGTGACTCCTCTCTTGCACACCCATGAAAGAACTCTCCACACTTCTAACAAACGCCATCATCTCCACCACCATCATCATTTATGCCACCAGCGGCAGCCCTTCCTCTCCAGCACACTCAGAGTAAACCGTCTGCAGAAAGCCCCTCTGGTCAAGCCAGCCCCGCTCCACGCCCAGCCAAGCTCTGCGCCGTGGAGGGCTGCGTACTCACTGAAGTCGCGGGCAGTTCAGTCCCAGGGCCGTGAGGGAGGCGTCGGTCAGGTTACTGCAGCCAGACACGCAGAGCGCCTGCAGCCGGTGGCAGCCCCTGCAGATGCGCACCACGCCCTCATCTGTGATGTGCTGGGAGAGACCACAGGGAAAGCCTCAGCTCAGAAACAGGAGCAGCTCCTGGGGGGCGCTCACCACCCGCCACTGCACCCTAGTAACTGAGAGAGCTGGATGGCGCAGACACGTGTTTGTGTTAGCCGAGAACACCTGGACAGTCGTCTAGCGTGACGTAAGGGAAAGTTCAAGGACAACATTTTTTTTTTTGCTAAAACTTTCTGTAGCTTTATTAACATTTCCTTCCTTGAAGTTGATAATTTGATTAAAAGGGAAAAAATACAGAAGATAAATATTAAATAAGTTGATTAGGAAAGAGAAATAGAACATGATGTAGAAACAATTAAGTATAGCCTGCACTTCAGACAGTATTTAAAAAAGACAAGTTTAACAAAAAGTAGTACTAATTAACTAATAAATTCTGTTATGATCATACTAATTTATGTCTCAAATGAAAATTATAAAGAAAAATTAAATCTCTTCAATTTAATGAATCCTGGAATATAACCATAGGATGTTTGAATTCAAATAAATAAAATTAAGGCAGTTAATTATGACATTAAAGTGTGTGATTTTTATCTCTTAGTTGATAAAGGACAACATTTAAATTCTTTCTTTTGAAATTTCATTTTCTTCTAAGAGCAGTTTTATTTCCAAGTAAATACAGGACCTCAGCACTCACATATTCCACATGTATCTATATATGGCCTGGAGGTTGTTTGCGTGTTCCTTTTCTGTCTTTGTGTTATATGGCTGTTGGTTGTTTTATGGTGGTTTTTTTTCTTTTGAGATTTTAATGAAAGTTTAGAGAGAACTTGGACTTCCGTTCATTCATTGTTGCACATTATCCTCCCTGCCCACATCCCCTCCAGTTCGCTTTTCTCTTTGGAAAAAAAAAGAAATTCTTACATTGTTGTACAATCTCCCTTCTCCCCGTCCATTTCACTATGCAGCCCTTATTTTGGATTGTTGTCACGCACATGCTACTTCATCATATATGCCTTTTAAGTCATTCTATTCCTCATCTGTGTCAATGCATTGTACATGATTCATCCTCTTTTCTTAGTTTCCCAGCATTTAAACTCTTAACGTTTAAAATCTCAAACTCTGACTTTTCTCTTTATAGCGTCACCAAGACAAACTTCATTTTCTAACAAATGGTTCAGAAAGCTGTATTAAAAACCAGATAAAATTTAAAAAACTGCAAAGACTTGTCTAGTTAAGTGGCATAATAGTTCAATTTTTACAAATTAACACTCTAGATGTCTACTACATAAAATACTGGTAATATAAATATAATAGTGTATTACTTATCACAGTATTTGTTGTGGTGTGCCCTCAAGTCGGAACTGACCCATAGCTGACCTTCCGGTAGGTTTTCAGAGGCAGTTAATTGCAAGGGAGGAGACTGTCTACTAGCACAATTATTTCCTCATGTTTTGGGAAATAAAATTACAAGCCACTAAATGATTGATAAATGTCTTAGAATTCTATAAATTTAATCAAAGGTCCAAGTAATATCTTAAAATATAGTAGTTTATATAGAAGTATATATAGACACTATTTCAAGCTGTCTGCCAATGCCATCTTACCCACAATCAGGCATCCTGCTTCTAAACAGGGCAAGTCAATGAGGTTAAAATTTGTCCAGAAAATGCCTTCTCTCTTGTCACTCACCACCAAGGAACCTAAAGATTCATGAGTTATTCATGAAGAGCTGAGGGTATGGGATTTCCCTGGAGAAGTTTTTTGTTGTTGTTTTCTTGTTGTTGTTAGGTGAACTTGAGTCTGACTCGTAGTGACCCTGTGACACCGATCTGAACCGTCCTGTACTTTCTCACCATCTGACCCACTTGAGCCCACTACTGCATCTCGGTGGGGGTCTCCCTCTCCTCCTCTGACCCTCTAACCTTTCCAAGCTTGATTGTCCCTTTTCAAATACTCGTCTCTCCTACCAACATGCCCAGAGTATGAGAGATGACATTTCACTCCCTTTGCCTCCAAGGAGCACTCTGGCTGCACCTTCCCCGAAGACTTATCTGTCTGTTCTTAGCGCAGACCATGAGCATTCAGTGCTTTTCTCCAAAGCTGGAGAAGCAGCAACAAGCAAACATGCCTTTTAATGCTAATACTTATAGTATAGTAATGCTGAAGGGACAAGAGTTTCTCACAGGCTAATGCTCGTGGCTTTGGTCTCTGTGCTTTATAAGTATTTTCACATTTGTCTTTTCATTTTATATCCATTAAAAAATTATCAAAAGTATTCTCACTATTGATTTTTAAGTGAGAAAGAAAGATCTTGAGGCCTCGTCACAAACTGTCTGAGGCTCATGACCAATTAGTGACCGTCACAGCAGCTCGTCCGGCGCTGCTCACACACACGGACAGCTCCACCTGCATGACTTCTGGGGGTGTCCGAGGATGTGTGGTGAGCTCACAGAGCTTTCTGTGGTCCTTCTCTCATCTGGTGGCTGGCTGACAGCTCACCCTCAGGGCCCAGGATGAGAAGTGGGGTGTGTACGCGCGGCCACTGCTGACCAGCCCACCTTCCAGGGAGCTCCCAGGGGCATGTGCAGCGGACTCCTGATGGAGGAACGGAGGTCGGGAGGGAGTGGTGGGCAGTGCCCCAGACCACTTACCGAGCAGGACTGTAAGTTGAGGCTCGTGAGCTCGTGGCAGTAGTTCTGAATGTGCTTCAGAGCTTCATCTTCTAACTGGGTGAACGGAGAAAACAGAGGCAAGGCCTCCGAGTAAGGGAGCAGTACACCGAGCCAGGTGCCACAGTGGGTTCCAGAGGCCGCGCCCACGCCTCCCCCACACGATGCCCACGGCCTCGGGGGCCGGTACCTGAGTGCAGCCCCGCAGCAGCAGTGCCGTCAGGCCTCGGCAGCCTCGCACCAGGGCCTCGATGCCGTCCTTGGTGATCTGGTCGCACCACGACAGGTTCAGGTACTCCAGGTTCCGGCAGCCCTCACTGAGAGAAGGACAGGGACAACCACTCGTGCACAGTCTGTCCTGCACAGGTCACTGACCAGGGCCACTCGGGGAGGAGCTCCGCCGGCCTCACCAGAGGATGACCACTGCGTGATCACCGGTTCCTCTTAACCACACCCGAGCAGCCCTCTCACCTGATGCCCTTTAAGGAGCTGTTAGTTATGGACACGCAGGAAGTCAAGTCCAGGTGCCTCAGTTTGGAACAGAATCGGCTAAGGCTGTAGCACGTGCTGGAAAAGGGCAGACAAACTCAAGGTATCTGCACGCAGGTTCCTGCCCTCCCCCTCCCCGCGGCCACTCACCTGTCGGTGATCTTGGTGCATCCATTGAGGTTCAAGTGCTCGATGTTGCGGCAGTTCTGTGCAAAGGTCCTAAAACGAGAAGCCTTGTAAAGCTCCCTCAGGGCCTTTGCCAGGCACTGGGTCACCACCAGAGGGCAGAGTGGACACCAGGAGCGGTGGAGATGACCCTGCATGAAGACCTGAAGGCACTGTCCCCAGCTCTCCTCACAGCCCAGATGCCAACGCAGAGCTGGAGGCGCGACAGACCGCCTTTTTTTTTTTAAAATGAACTTTAATGAAAGTTTACAGAGACTTAGGATTTCTATTCATTCACTGTTGTACTTTTCTCCCTGCCCACCAATTCACTCTTCTTGAAAAAGAAAAATTCATTGTTATACAATCCCTCCTTGCCAAGTCCACTCCACTGTGAAGCCTTCGTTCTGGACTCCTCTCATGACAATAATACCCAATCATACGTCCCTTTTAAACAGTTCCCTTCCTCATCTGTTTCAATGCAGACGTCTGCTTTCTTAAGCGGCACCTTGGGGTCTGTGCTGCCAGCCCACGCATTGCACCTGGACACAGGTACCTTCAAGGCTCTAGCTCTCCTTTACCGAGACTCTGACGAGTCATCTGGGAATCAAGGCCAGGCTCCCTATTCCTTCCTCTATAGAAAGCTCAGCTTCAAGTGAATTTCTAGAATCCCATCCCTGAGCCCTGAGGTAGGTCAGTAACTGACCAGCATGAGAACCTCACGTTTCCTGGTGGGAACGTGTATGTGTGAAAGGTGAAATTCTCAAAGATCAAAGTACGGGCAGCAAGGCCAGAAGGGGAAATATCAAATATTCCCAGATAGGCACCCACTGCTTAGCATATTCCACAAGGATTATGATATCCTCTGCATCTTCTGGAAAAGTATCTTCAACTATCTTGCAAGATCAAAATATGACACTAAAAATAGCAAACCAGAGATCTTGGTGCATAAATGAGGACAAACCACAATATAAAAATGGAGTTAACAAGTTTAGAGTCAGAACTTCTAAATGGAGAGGAAGTCAATATTTCAGGATAAAAGGAACTGTTGCAGACTCTAGAACAAAACAGTAATTTACAAGGCAACCACTAAGAAACTTAAGTTTCTCATCAAAATAAACAATCCAGATTTTACAAATACAAAAAACAACTGCAAGTGAAAATGATAAGAAACCATAAGCAGAATGAGATACCACAAATAAAGCAGGTGGTATAAACACACTAGCAACACTGAAAAGCAGAGTGCAGAAAACGCCAGGAACAGAATCATCCTTGTCGATAATCACGCTGAATGTGAGTGCATGGTTAAATGCACTATTCGAGAGAAAAGTAGCAGGAGAATGGATAAGCAAACATAACCCACCAACATGCTGTCTGCAAGGCACACACTTCTCCCAAAGGCAAGCAGTTTGAATCACCAGATACTCCACTAGAGGAGGGGCAGTCTCCTCCGGTACCAGTCAGATCTGACTCAACGGTACACACACAAATATAATAAAATTTAATTTTTTTTTAAAAAAGAGACACACTTCACCCAAAAGAGCAAAACAGACTAAAACCAAAGGATGAAAAACCATATGAGTCAAATGGCAACCAAAAGAGGGCAGGAATGGCAACAGAGATTTTATTTATAAAATAGATGCTAAGTAAAAAGCAGCCAAAGAGATTAGAAGGCATTATATAATGAGCATTTTTTCTTATTGTTAACTCATTCTCTTAATGTCTATTGCCTTTCCCTTCACCTAATGTTTTTCATAAAAACAAATGAAGTTTACTGAGGCACAGAGATGGTGCAGATTAGAGAAATGTCCATTATCTGAGTAAAAACGACCGTTCTGGAGGACATGTCCTTATAGCAGTGGGTCAGGAACTGAAGGCTACAAAATAAATAACTGGTTGAAAGACCATCAGAAGAGCTAAAGGTGGGATATAGAGAAGAATTTGGCCACGATGGTCTTACCATGTAAACAGGCTCACGTGGCTGGTAATGGTCCATGTCGCCCACGGTGGTCCCAAGGCAGTGGGAGAGAACTAATTTTTCAGGAAACATTTTCTCCTTCAATTATGCTTCCAGAGAGCTACTGAGAAGATCTCTCACTAATGCTGTACCTCACCTACTATCTTAATATGTCTCTATGATCTGTGCATTAATTTTCACTCCCTTCTTCATCCCCTGGTGGCCTTTCAAGAATGAGTCTCTATGTCAGCCTTGCCTTTTCATAACCTTTCTGTAGTTGTCATGTGCTATTATTAGTAGGAACCAACTCACAGACGACCCTCCAGTGGATTTTCAGAGGCTGTGAATCACTGGGGAGGAAACTTTCTCCCATGGAAAATACGAACCATGTGCGTTTGGGTTGGTAATTCAACTCCTTACCCTATAAACCACCCTTTTTAGAAGAGTAGATTGGGACTAGTAAGATTTTTCCCCTTCAGTCATACAAATTACGACAGAAAGGATTTAAGTGGGGGGAACCCTCTATCTATTTTTATTCTACTGATGAAAATGTCAGCTGCTGAGGCAAGAGCCTGCGGGCTCTGACTTACTTCAAGGAGGCGTCTCCGACACCAATGCAGCCCCGCAAGCTGAGCTTCCTCAGGAACCCGCCGCATCGCTTGGAGATGTTTTCCACCACGCGGCCCTTCAGTCACAGAAGTGAGGGGGAAAGATGGCTTTTCATGTTGCTTATATAACAGGAAAAGAACTCTAAATGTAGAATGTACAGGAAGTCCCTGGATTATAAATAAATCCCACACCTGTCTTTAAGTCAAGTTGGTACATAAGTCAGAACAGTACAGTTCACATCTAACATCAGGTAAGTGTTTATCTTAGTAAATAAAATGTACCCTTCTACACATAGAAATATTAAACACTTCCAGACCCATTAAAATATTCTTATCATAATACTACAGAACTACTAATAATGTTTTTTACTCTTCTTGTCATTTAAGTCAAAGTTTACAGAGCAAGCTGGTTTTCCATTCAGCCATTCATACTCCTGGCTTTATGACCACCTCACATCACAGCAGCTCAAGTCCTCCTGACTTTTTGGCAAGCAGGATTGTGTCATCTGCTTAATTCAGGTGGTGGATGAGTCTTCCTCCAATACTGATGCCATATGCTTCTTCATCAAGTACAGCTTCTTAAATTATTTCCTAAGCATACAGGCTGCATAAATGTGAGGGGCTACACATCCCTGTTACACACATCGTTCTTGATTTTAAACCACGCAGTGCTCCCTTGTTCTGTTCAGACAAAACTTCTTGGTGTAGGTTAGGTCTCACATGAGCACAAGTGTTCAGGGATTCCCATTCTTCTCAAACGTTGTCAGTTTCTCTTCATGCTTTCTCTTCTAACCAACTAGTATTGAGAAATTTGTCTTCAATCTCACTAATTCTGTTTTCTATTGTCTCAATTCTATTCCTTGGTTCTGTATTTCTGAAATTTAGTATTAATCTTGTGAATTTCTATCTGTTGTTTCTGTATGATTTCTAATTTTCAATTTATTCTGTTAATTTGTTCTTGTATCTATTTCTTGAATTCTAATATTTTGTCTATGTCTTTGACTTGCCTGAGGTTTCCTCAAACTTTTTCTCTATATACTGATGGTAGCAAACATTCACTGTTTGAAATTCCTTTTTGGAAAATTCCAATAGCATTGCTTCTTCTCAAAGATTTTTACAGTTCTGTATTTTGACCATGCGATTCCTATTGATTTGCTTTGTGTTTGGGGTATGATCTGAAGTTATCTGTTGTCTCTGACACATCTGGGATTGCTGTATATCTCTGGATGGGTTACTTGTTTATATAGCTGACTGAATAGGAAGGGGTACTGCTCAGCTCACTAATTCTGTGAACTTATGCTCTTACTCCCTTTCTACAGGTGAGTGTGATAGAAGATGGGGTTATGTGCCATTTCCTTTTCATTGTTTATATACAGATGAGGGAAGGCTGGTCTGGTGACAGCTTCCATGTGCTGTCAATCAGATGATACAGGAGCAGATACTGGCACTTGTCTGGTGGACAGGGCTATCAGATGCATGTGTGTGGCTGGGCAACGTCCATGCTGCTGGTCCCTGTTGTTAGGTGCTGTCAAGTTGAGTACTGACTCATAGCAACCCTACAGATAACAGATCTGAATCCTGTTCTGTCCTGAGCCATCCTGACCATCAACGACATACCTGAGGCCACTGCTGCAGTCCCTGTGTCAATCTATCTTGAAAGACTTCCTCTCTTTCACGGATCCTCCACCTTTCTCGGCATGATGTCCAGTATTCCCACTGCTGGGATTAGTCCTTCCTAACAACATGCTCAAAGTATGGGAGATGAGCCTTCTTCATCCTTGCTCTGAGGGGCATTCTGGCTACACTTTCTCCAAGACATACCCATTTGTTCTTTTGGCAGTACATGAGATATTCAGTACTCTTCTCCAACACAACTCAAAGGAATCAAGTCGTCTTCTGTCATACTGTTCACTGTCCAGCTCTCAGATGCACAGCAAGTGACTGAAAAGACCATGACTTGAATCAGGAGCACCTTAGCCTTCAAAGTGACATCTTTGCTCCTCAGTAATTTGGAGAGGTCTCTGACAGTAGATTTCCTCAATGGAGTACATCTTCTGGTCTCCTGACTGCTGGTTCCAAGGATGTTAATCGTGGACCCAAGGAAGACGAAATCACTGACAATTTCAGTCGTTTCTCCTTCTATCATGATGTAGCCTACTGGAGGAAGCTGCCTTACAATCCTGAAGGCATGCAGTTTGGATACACTAGCTGCTCTGAAGGAGAAGAAAGGGCAATCTCCTCTTGTGTGATTTACTGCCTCTGAAGGGCCAGCTATGGGTTGATTCCAACTCCATGGTACATAACATGTTCATAGCTATAACCTGTTTAGAAATGGGAGTTTTTCTTTTGCTAGGTTTCAGGGCTGTTGTACACAGGGTCACTATGAGTTGCAAGCGACTCGAAAGCACATAACAACAACATGTTAGTGAAGCCATGCCCCTGGAGGATAGATCATAAATGGAATTATTGGTGAGTGATTTTAAAAGTCAGATTAGACACAGACATACAGAGAGACGGCAGACACCATGTGAAGACTCATCTATAAGGAATGCCAAGGACTCCTGGCCACGCTCAAAAACTCAGACTCACTGCTGTCAGGTCGATTCTGACTCAGAAGGCCCCTGCTGGGCTCCCACGGCTGCGGCAGGAGGAGAACGCCCACGTTTCTCCCTTGGACCCACTGTGGACCTGAATTCCCCTCAGAACCACGTCCCGGCCACAAGTCGTATCTCTGACTTCCTGACTTGTAAGAGTGAACCCCCGTTCTTTACCCACGTGGGGTGTTTGTTATGGCAACACTAGGGAAATCGTACAATTGTTTTAAAAGAAATGATCCTCATTTGGTCACATTCACCACTCCTAAAGGTAGGTAATTACATTGTTCCAGATAAATGTTCCAGGATCCTGGAATGATGAAGTATCTTAAGGCTTTCTTCTTTACGTTATAGATAATGAGACCAAAGCACCAGAGACATGGCCTGACTTAAACAGCAGGGCACCCTGGTGACATCTCAGGTCTGCTGCTTCATCATAAACCTTGCACTTCCATCACTTCTGATTCTGGGTCAGAATTCCCAGCGCATCTCCTGGATTAATAAATACTCCTCAGCAAGAGACACTTTAGGGATAAAGCAGGTGGGAGGATTTTAAAAGCAGACTCATGAAAGTCGGATGAAAAACAAAGAAGGTGGGGGCAGGAAGGCACCAATACAGAGCAAAAGAGTAAAATAAAAAGCTAATTTGTGGGAAATTATCATCTAAATTTTGTTCCTATTTAGCCTTTCCATTTCATTATTAGATCTAAATGAAGCCTAATGTAAAGGCGAGGCAGGGAAGACATTTACTTGTGTAAAGCACTGCTCACACTGACCTCTACGTCTGTCTGAAAGTTGAAAAGGTCGATCCTTTGCCAGTTGCTCCCATCCAGAGCTAAGACATTCCAAGCCTGAGAGACGGGGAGCAAAGGAAAGCAGGTGAAGGGGAAAGCAATATATTTACTGAAACTTTTAAAAACATAGTTTGACTCAATCTTCGTATTTCAGAACTCATATTCTTGATATAATAAAAATGCAATTGTGCTAACACCATTATATTAAACATATTAGATATATTAAATCTACAAATAGAAGTAAACAAAAAAAATTTTAACTTTTAAATATTTACTTGAACCAAAACGTATCCTTATTCAAATAAAATACTAGGTTTAGTGACTAAAAATGCAGCCAGCTAATTACCTTGGAAATCTGTGCACATCGGCACAAAGTTACTATGTCCAAGAATGAAAATATTCTAAAGAGGAAAGAAACACAAACATGAAAGGGTGTTAACATTTTGGATATTTATCATTTGAGAGAGAAAATCTAGTTAGCTCTCTGGATGTATTATAAATGTCTTTCAAGACTCCTCCGTTTGCAACACACAAGTGCCCTATAATGTTATGTCACCACTGTAAAATATTAAATGCTCACATGTTCAGATGCTGTTTTAGACACATAGCACATAGTCTCTTAAATAACTCGGTAACATTTTATATTCTTCATTATAAGGAATTGGCACGGGACCCAACTGCGTGCAGCTGAATCAATTCTGAGTTCCGGCCATCCTCAGAGAGTAAAAGTCCCTTATGTACGAGTCCAAGGATGCCGCCTTTGCGGAAACGGATGGCCGTATTTTTTCCTGGGGAGCTGTTGGGGGTTTCACATTGCTGACTTTTGCTCAGTTTACAACTAGGCACTGAATCACGGCTCCACCAGGAGACCAGTGTCACAGAGCAGTAGAAGCTCAGAAACCAAAATTCCATTATCCACGCTCTCATCTCCAGGTATCAGATAGGGTGACACCTACACTGTTCGAACTCAGACTCCTCACACCTATCCAAACGCTTCTTCAGGAGGGAGACATTCCAAGCAGGCCCAGGTGTCTGAGAGCTGCAAACAACAGGGCCAAGAAAACCTGGTCTAACTCCTCCAGAATGAAGCATCTGTTCACTTGACTTATTGCTCTGCAAGGTCTAGAAGTGACTGGTTCTTCCTGTGTAAAAGCTATGGAGTTAGAGAGGACAGGAGAGACATGGGGTGGGGAGGGGGGAGCAGAGAGAAGCACCCAAACCACACTTGCATCGATATTTCCAACCCCAATGAGTTCACTGGCTAATTCTACCAAATATGCAGAGAAGAGGGGACATTCCCAAACTCATTTTACAAAGCAAAATTAACAGTGATACCAAAGCCAGGCAAAGCTACCATTAACAAAATTACAGCTCCAAAGCCTTTATGAACATAGACATAAAAATTTTCAACAAAATCCTGGGCAATAGAACAATATATTTTTTTAAAATTATGCACAAGTAGTATTCATACCAAGAGTGCAACATGAGCTGAACATGAGAAACACAATCAGTGTAATCCATTATATAAATAAAATACATCTGATAAAATCTAACATGCATATCTGATAAAAACCCTAAGCAAAATAGGAGGAGAAAGGAAATTTCTCAATATAATTAAAAGCGCAAAACAAAGAGACAACATTCTTTTAAATGGTCAGAGACTGGAAGCATTCTCTTTCTGCACAGAAATCAGACACAGATGTTCTCTATTACCACACCTAATCAACACAGAACTGAAGTCTTGGCCAGGGCAGTATAGCAAACAAGGGAAAGAAAAAGCCTCCAAACTGCTAAGGAAGAAGTAAAACTACCCCTATTTGCAGATGATTTTTATCCAATACAGAAAATCCTAGAGACTCAGCAAAAAAACAAAACCCAAAAAACCCTACTGCAACTAATTGAAAGATTCAAAGTGACAGGGTACAAGATCAACATACAAAACTGAGCGGGCCATTATCTTAGAGATGCAAATCAAAACAGCAATGAGGGGAAGCTCTGGTGGCCTAGTGGCAAGAAGCTGCACTGCAATCCCAGAGGCGCACAGTTCAAATCCACCAGATGCTCTGCTGGAGAAGGAGGG